GCTGAAGTTCAACGACAACTCGAATAACCAGGTGGGAAGTCTACAATGATGTAGACGGATATGTATCTGACTTGCTTAGATCTCCGATTGCCACTATGTCGCCACTCTTATGAGGGGATTAGCAGAAGCCCTAGCTTCGAAGCCGCCGTTTCCGGCAAATGATCTTGATGATTTCGAAGATAACAGCGAAGACAACCAAGTATTTCTCAACGCCTGTCTGGAAGAGATCGATCGACACCGGCGTATCGATGAATGGATCCCTTCCTACCACAACATACTCTCAACTACTGCTCTGGACTGCAAGCGAATATTAGCTAAAGCTGGCATCATCCAGACCAGGCCTGTGGATTTCTTACACTACACGCCAGATGGTACTTCGGAGTACCTGCGCCTCAGTGCTTTTTCGAATGTCATGGCTTTGGGCTTTGTGAAGAACCATGCTATACTTCGTTGGTTCCTCTTCGTCCTAGGCACAGATCCTTCACCCTATGTTCGAGAGAACCTGCTTCGCATATTTGGCAAGGCTCTTGGTGCTATTGCGGTGGGCGAGCACTTAGAAGTTGCCAAAGAACAAGCAGCTCAGCTGGACGGTCTCGTCATTGAGCAAGAGTCAACCACCGAAGGCCGGCAGGCGGATCTAGCGCGGAAGCAAACAGTCGAGGGGGCGCTCAATGCTTTAAGAGATGAAGTGTCCGCGGACCCCGTCCTGAAGAAAGAGCTGTGGAAGGCTATCGAATCACCAACCCTATCCTTACGTCAACTGGGCGAGCTCCTGGGCATCTGCGACTGGCTATATGAACCCGACTCTAAAATCATCATCCTCCTCAGATACCCTCGATACTGGGAAATCAAGAACCTGGGCAAAGGCAAACTTCTCTTCACCCGCACTTCTCGCGTCCGCACAACCATACCTAAACGCAAACATGTCGCTGCTCTTCCCCAGCCCTTTATCAAACGAGAGAACAGTATTCCTAACAATGGCATGCAGCCGCCGCTCAAACTAATGTTCAAGCAAAAGAAGCCTCCAATGCAGAGTACGGCGTCTGCTTCTTCAGTCACGAGTGTAGAGAGCGTGCCGCCGAGCCCAGTAGTAGAAGGGGATAATGCCAAGCCGAAGCTGAAGATCAAGTTCAAGGTTGGTGGCGGCGCTGGGAGCCCTTCGTGAAGGATCAAGTATTCGTTGGATGATCACAGTGATTCTAGGCGTTAAGGCTTTAGCGAAGATGCGATTGAGATGCGATACCCAAATTTATGTATTAGATGCTGCTTGAAGCGAGCGCTTAAAGATTGTCTTACACTGGCTTCTATGTAAGACGCGTTGTAACTTATGTAACAGCGACCCTCTCAGGGGCGTCCCAAAGCCGATAGGCGCCTTTTTTCATTCAGACGAAGCATCAAGGAACCTTCAAGACCTTTTCAAGCTGCAAGATGGGTACACTCAAGAGTTCTCGCCTCCCACTCATACTTCTATCGATACCCTGCCTATCTGCTCTGGCTCTGAGCTCGGCCCACGGTCAATCGGCAGGTCTCGCTATGAACCTCAGCCCAATCGTACATCGCTCGCAAGCACCCGCACCCCTTCACGACCGCGGAACCGAAGCCTCCAGCAGCCATCAGAGTCCCCTCATCTGCCTCCGCCTCACCCGCCTCACGAAAATCCTCCCCATACAAGCAGGCGCCACAGCCCTCACAGCCTTGTACTCCCACCTGCACGCGAGTGCTTCAACTTCCTGGGTCAATCAACCATATCGCCAATCCATAACCGTCAACTACGGCCGCCTGCAACTGCACATGTACTCTCCACTCACAACCATCCCCTGGTCCTTTGTCGCCAGTTTCGCTATGGAAATGCTGCAAGGGATTCACATGGGAGGGATGTATGTGAGTCTGTATGAGGGGTTCTATAGTTCGCCGGCGAGTTGTGCAGGGTTGTGGGAGGCGGTTTATGCGAGTGCTCAGGGAGCGAATTTGGTGTGGGCGACTTTGCGGGTGGTGGACGATCCGGGGCATTTTGTAACGGATTAATCTTAACTACATCCGATGAGGTAGGAAACCAAAACCAAAGAATGGACGTTGAAGACAGACATGACAGTCTTGTGCGATGTTGTTTGACCTCGGCGTATTGATAATCATCGGTATTTACGTTGCTTTCGAGTTTGTATATCAGCCCTGTCCCAGTCAGATGTGTAAAGGGCAGAATACAAGAGGTGAACAGAGAGATCGAGAGCAGATGAATCTTTTATTCGAGGCTCATGGATAGACTTGTTGAGTACAAAAATACTCAACTGGCGCGCACAGATGAACAATTGCAAAGTATATTCCGCAAATCACTCGACAGTGACACAATTTAACATCGCATCTCATGAGAATCCCGACATGATATGACCCAAGATGCGTACCGTTACGAAGCGGAACGCGCTGCCAGTACAGACACGAGCGAAGGAGAATGATTGAAGAAGATTATGCACCTCAACAAGGAGAAGAGTGAAGGAGATAATGTGTGCCTAAAGCGAACCCCAGCAAACAGCACGATTGTAAGCAGTGTCGGGGATTTAGAAAGGCAGCTTTGGTCTCGATCTGCGTCATACTCGGCAATGTGCGTCTCAAGACGGTAGTGAACTTGAGGGCAAGGGTACGTTGAGGACGCGACTGTGAGGCCATTCTGTTCCTTCTCACAGCCCATTGATCCGTAGTCTACGTGATCATCTAGAGTCAAGGCTCATAAATTCAAGTAGCGAAATCACGGATAGTCACCAGTCAAGTAAAGGAAGAGAAACTAAAGTCACCAAGTCAACCTGAAGTCAAGTCATTTGATTAGTGCGGTGTGCGGCAGCGTTCCGCAATATTTCTTGAGCGAGTGAGCTCTACATCTTTCTTCAAAACCCTGGATCATTGAGGTAGGTCCGAGCTCGAGCTAGAGCCCATGGCGGTGCCTTCATTGTATCCTCTGCTTCAACTTCCTACCGTGACACAGGTTTGCCTATCTTCTTCTCAAAGAAATGACCCTGCTAATTTGCGGTGACACAGGAAGACCTATCTGCGTTTCATGCCCGTGTCTTCGGCTCTGCTGCTCCTGCCCCACTGCTTCATACAGAGCCGGAAATTCATAGTAGCGATGCCTACAAACAAGCCTTCGATGAAAATGACGACGATCTTGGATACTATCCTGATGGCGCCAAAAGGACCCTAACGGACGACCAAATCGCTATGTTCAGACATAGCGAGATTTACTCTATACTGCGAGAAAGACAGGTGCGCAAGGAAAACCTGGAAGCAGAAGGTGGCGATCAGGATGAGACTATGGTTTCTCAGCCAGAAGACGCTGTCGAAGCCACCGCGTTATTTAATGAGGATGGAGAGGGGCAGTTTGATGGGGAAGCACAAGAGGTCTTTGCTACGGTTCCGGAAACTACCCCCCAACACGTCGAAGCTACGCATGCGAGGAAGAAGCGGAAACGAGGAGATACAGATACCGGCTACGTGCACGGCAGGAAATATGCGTCTCGGAGCGCTAGAGGGTTCGTGAGAGAGCTCGACTCGGCCGCTGCAGAAGACCAAGTTTTAGACTACGGCGACGAGCCTGCTGTCACCGAAGAAGCCAAACCAAATGGATTTGCGGCCACAAAGGTCGCAGAACAGGGTCGTGAAAGCCAAGCACGTCCAAGCGAGGGGAGGAAAATCTGGTGGCCGATCATTGAGGCGACTTGAAAACCGCCCGCGGCTCATCCAGTGAGAGCATTTGAAGGCATTACGAATCTAGGCCGAAACGTCTAGCTCCACTTTTCAGTCTCTCAAGGCAAGTTCCCTCCTCTTTCTTCTCTCCGTCGAGCCTCTTGCATTCCATGATGAAACACCAATATCGTCATCCTTAGTCGGACAATCTGCAAACTCCTGCAAATCCATACATGCGTCTTGGCTTCGGCTCAAAGCAATGAATGGGAGGAGCGAGTGGATCATGGCGAACCATAATCTTCTCTCTGACATAGCCTATCGCTACTTTCACCGCACAAGTCTATATTTCGCTGTGCCCTGCTAATGTTATTTTATACAGACTTTATCCCCATCTTCATAGTGCTTGTCTAGACGTGACTTAGCCGAGGGAGGTACAATCGCAGTCTACTGCACTTTCCCTCTGTAAATGCAAATGTGAGCCTTCTACTTCCTCGCCGTCTTCCTCCCGCGCCAACCTTCTGAATGATGAAACACCACTGTCATTCGCAGTTTCTACGCGAACTGGCGGCGCTGACCCAAATGGTGCCGCCGGTATCATGGGCGCTATCAAGGAGCCTTCCTTGGATGTCTGATTAAGAAGCACATTTGAAACCCCTGCTTGCTGTTAACAAACCATTGAAAATGGCTCTTGTGCTGATATGAACTTCTCCTCAGGTCACCATCTTTGGATACTGCTATGATGGGCGCTCGATGTCTGAGGGACGGCGAAACTTGGTATCGATTGTTGGTCTCGACGTCTGCTGTAGAAGATCCTTTTCACGCAGAAAAGATTAGATGACTATCGCGACCGAGCACGATGGCGACTTTCGCAAGACACGACTTTGCTTTATAGAGTTGGCAGGGTTTAGCATAACGAGGCGACGCAGTCCGCTTCAAAAGCTACCACGACATCGCAGAATACCACTTGGCAATCGCTGCGAGGAATGTCAGCACTTTCCGTGACTAATAGCATATCCGAGCCATTCGCTTTCGTCAGTCGTTATCGGTCTCTCATATCTCATAGCTCATCCTCACTACTCATTCACCGTCCCCACCAACCCTACCCCCTCTTCTCTCTCTTCTCTCCCCCATCCTTCGTAAAACTCAACCCCCTGAACCCTTTCTTAAGTCCTTTTAGCCTACCCTTCGTCTTCATATACGTCTCAATCCCTACCATAGCCGCATAACTCCGACCAACAGGTCATCGACATATCCACCCCTCTCCCCTGCAAGCTCATGATAAAATTTCTCAAATTATGACTCGGCGTCCTATAATGGCCCAACCTCGGCTACAGAATGCGCAACTGGCCATCTTTGACCGTTATCAATCCCGCGGCGGAGATTCGGGAGCCGCGGAGGAAAGAAGAGTGCCGAAAGGCGCCGGGTTGTTTGATACCGATGTCGAGGTTGTTTTCTGTGTCGGCGACGAAAGATCCATCCCGCGTGTCCTTGGCGGCGCCGAAATAGGCAACATGGCTCTTCCGAAAGCCTTCCACGTCGCTGACGATCATTGCGGCTGTCCATCTATCCAGAACGATCCATCACTTAGCCCGTGTCCCACCGTGCGTAGGCATTGGTAGATCCCCACGAAACTGCGCCACAGATCCCTCGTCCTTCACAATACCGTTGGTGATCTTATACTCGGGTGTTTTAGTTGAGACACCTTCAGGACCTGAGTAGTGACGTTATCCAACTTCTCCTCCAGGTCGACTTTCGACAGATGCTTCAGGTCCAACTCGGAAACCATCGCGATGATCGTCCTCATTCTTCATCTTGATCAATTGGTCACGGGAGGATTTCGCGGTTGCGGTCGCTGGTCTGCTCAGGGGGTGCACGGTCGGTCCTCTTGATCCTCTGGCTGCCCTGCGAGTAGTTCTGCGTGATCCTCGAGACGACTGCGGCCTCTAGGAAGGTTGAATATGGCTTTGGTCACTGGAGGCGTGTATGCGGAAGACGTGTACGCGGTCATTGGCTGTTGGTAGCAAGTCCTACAGAAAAGACCTTTGTACCTGGTAGGGTTGTGTGACTGGACTGCATGAACGTGCATATGCATCATACGCAAGTTCACTTGCAAATTTTACCCCACAATGTCCTACAGCCTAAAGTATAGTAATCTTGATATCTATGCAGCGGCGCCTATAATTTCTAGACGCATCAATATTCCCTAGCTATCATCAAGAATCGAATCCTACATGTTACCATCAACACATCAACCCCGCCTATTCTCCAGACAGACAAGAAGAACACCCAGCACCCTTAATAACAGCCCAGGCATCCGGCCCAAGACCATCTCCCAGCCAGCATCATTCATATCAGACAACATCAAACGGATACACATCCACCGAAACACTGCCTTTACTTGCGGAGGCCGAGTCATCTAATCTATCGAACTTCCCACCACGGTCCTCAACCAGTCGTATGCCTTTATTCTTCTCTTTCTGGCGACCAACAGAACTTCCAAACGATGAGATGGGCCTGAACGGACTCTTCACGTTTCGGAGCCGGGACGGGACGATACCCTTCAACAGTGGCCCCATCATCGGGAGGCAGGCGCTAACGATGCCGATACTTGGCTCGACTGTGGACCAAATGTCTGCGTCGACGGCAGTCCCTGTGGTTCGAAACGCTGGTCAGAGAGAGAGGGGAATGATCTGGGAAATGAAGACCTGATGGGATATGGAACATACATGTTGGATCATCGATGTCGACTTTTCCCACAAAGCAGGTGCGGACGATACTTGATAAACAGACGCTACAAGCGCGCAGATGAACGGTTAGTCTTGTCCAAGTTGGTAGGAAGAGCGACCACGTACAAGCCTCCCAAAAGGAACATTCCCGATATAGCAACCTTCTGTGACTTCTTAATCTGGAGCTCCCATACCACAGATATCGGCAATATCAAGATCAAAACATCCGTGAAGAGGTTCAGTATAGCCATGGACAGCAAGAAAGCTTTCATGTTGATACACAGGCCATAGCTCGTCCGGTCCCAATATAGGGTGGTCAGATCGCACTCGAAAACGACAGCGATGAAGGTGCCGAGCCCCAAGACGACGCTCACAGCGGCGAGGCCATAGAGGCCGATTTTGAATTTGAGGGTGGTGGCTGAGTTTGGGAACATGCGGTGATAGAACAGGAGGACTGAAAGCTTGACGGTTGTGATAGTGATGGAGTAGACGAATTCGAATGCCCATTGGACCTTTGGAGACACAGCTCCGTCAGCGAAAATCATCCCAATCGATTAGAGCACCTTTCGTACTTTCAGAAATTTGGTTATGGTGTCAATGTCCAGCTCATCTATGTGTCTACCGGATCCAAAATGTGCGCCTTTACGCGGAGTGGTCAGCTCAGCGTAATTATGCGATCGCCATTAGGTGAGACTGACAGAGAATCAACATTGCACAGAGGCCTAATGCCAGGATCTGGGCGCAAGATCAGCAATTGTGCCAAACAACGGGTAGCTTTTTGCTGGCATGAACGCACAAGAGACAAAAAGATCAGATAATCATCCCCTGATACTGGATATCTCAGATGCCGTTTGCACCCCATACGGAGACCAACGGCCGTGGTAGCCAGTACGGCCATGATGACGCCGGTTGCAAAGAGATCGCTATCCCTGTCGGCAGTGCGCTGAAGAGGAATCCCGGAATCCATAGCCAGAGTCGTATCAGCAGATCGTTGCGGGATCAATCAGTCTCACTCGCGATCAAATTCTCTCGATGCAACGAGCTGCCTCGTGGGGAACAAAGATGGCAGACAACCAGGGGAGGGAAAGGGCATAACGGAGGAAGCCCGCCTCGACTTAAGAGCAAACGCCCAGAAACCTCAAAGCACTCGCGCGCAAGTCGATCTCGTTGTTAAATCTCCCGTGAGCAACGCTCCTTCTCCCTAGTGGAATGCCCATAATTCAAGTGTGTCAAGCAAGTGCCAGCGCCACGCGTTGTCCAGAGCCAAAGGCCAGCGAACGAAGCATGTGGCCCGCCTGATCTATTTTGTGGGGTAAGGTCCATGCCCGGGGAAATTAACGAAACCTGCATCTGCAGGACGGCGCGTTCTGCCGTCCACGACTCCTCGGTCTTGATTCGTGCGCGATGCTTTGCGCAAAGATGGGGCTTTCCCGATTCCGTGTCTACCGTACCTATCCTACCTTAGCCGAGGGCTATAAGTTGCAGTAACCGTACCTATATCAAATAGTTTAAATTACCGCCTTTTGGCGGCTGCTTTATAATATTACCGTGATGCTAAAAATCATTAAATACGTGATTTAATTCTAGTAATACTTTTCGTGAAACGAGAGTAGACTGGTTTTCACGTATACACGTTTTTATAGAAAGAACGATTATATTCTCGCTACCGTTTCGTATAAGGAACCGTTATGAAACTATTAAGCTTGCCAAGCTTGCCAAGCTAAGTCTTCGAAAGTACTGTCTAGAGAAATTTATCAACGCCCTTAAAAATCTAACTTTCAAAAATAATCGATTTAGGAGATTTTCTCGTCGGGATAAATATCGACGGTACTTAGACCGTAGAATGTGGAGGCTGACTTCTTAGGGTATTGATTATAATATGTCGGCCGGATATATTATTAAACCCTCTCGGATCTGTGTTTCACGCTAATTGAAAATTACAGATAATAATTCACGATTCGATCAAGTTTCAAAGACGTATTAAAAAATATCAACCGTAACTTTCCAGAAATGTATAAAAAACTGTCATCGCCTAAAGGCGGAGGACTCTCAGAAATACATCTATTTGAAGAAACCGTATAAGAACCGTAAATCCACCGTTGAACGAAGCCATATGTTTGGCGGAGATATTTAGTTCGTATTAGGTTCGATTCCTAATGGCGCTGGTACACTGGTGTTGCGGTGCTTTTTATTTTCTCCATAGCCATTTACTAAGGTAGTCGACCTGCGAGTGACACCAAAAAGCGCCGAGATGCAGGGGCACCCTTCGCAGAGCGAGCCCATTGTGTTACAAATGTCCCGATGAGGAATTCGCCTAGAAGGTCGGTCCATTCGAGGTGCCTTCTAGCGGTCTTCGACCTGCCTCCTAGCTGCATCTAGCGGCTGAGCTTTGACCTCGATACCAGCGGACGGCCCCAAAGGGCACAGAGATCGGATGCGGGGATTTGGCACTTTCAACGGTCTAGGTTATCGTAGATGTTTGACAGCGCCGGTTTTGGCCAGCTGGGGATAGGTCGTGGCGACCGGGCAACGGTCTACGGTGCAACTGGCCGGGGCCCTAGCCGAAAACATAAGTGGCAGGGTTTGAGGCATTTTCGGTTGCTCAGCATGGATGGATGGAGGTACTATCGAAGTCTCTTGAGAATGATCTAGCCAGTATCTAGCTCGACATCTGCGCCGTACCGAACAGCCCTTTGATGTCTTGTGCAAACATCGACTATACTCGTTGGCCGTTGGCCTCACACGTAGATGGTCATGCCTGAGCGACAGCGTGAAGCATGCGTGCCGTAATCATCATACTCGGAACCATGGTGTCACAGTCCGCACATGCACTCGACGCGTCGCCATCGAGCCGTCCCTCTATTCGCAAAGACAAAGAGAGATGGAACGGCGACGTGGTCGTCAAAGGAGCAAAACACTGCGAGAGGGCACGTCCGATATTACTCGATCATAGGAGCTCTCTGGGTGAGAGTTGCCGGAGCTCTACCACTCGATGCTACTATTCGACTTTGTTTGCCAAAGATCAGTGACAGCAGCATCGTCAGCACCATCTGACCCAAATCACGCTGCGTCTTCCTTTCCCGAGACCACAACGACGCCTAAGCATCTCTCTCGGCACCGATCCTGCTTCCTTACCCACATCGAACACGTGCACAGAGGGGGCAGAAATTGACCCGAATTAGACCAGAGATACAAAGCCATGAGAAGGCCGCCTAGCATTGTGAACACCCTCAACAGCGGCGATAACGCCAGCGGAGCAAGAAGTACATGAGCAAACCAAGTGTCAAATAAAACAATATGATATCTACCACGTTTGTAAGGGACGATATATAAGCAAACAATGGAAAGACGACATATGCCAGAAACCATGCGTTGAGGGAGAGGAAGGCGAGACAGGTGAAGGAGGAGCAAAAACTCCACAGGTTCAACGGGATAAAGGAGAGATTTGGATGAGATGATCTGCAACGAAAGTTCGAGCGACGAACAAGCCACGTGACATGGAGGAGACTTTAAGCTTACTTTTGCATTCGAGTTAGGAAATCATCAGGTCTCGAATACAGTCTGTGAGTCGATTCTTGGAAAGAGACTGATGGAAGGAGACAAGATATCGAAACACGCACAGAGATAAATTGAAAGATGAAGAGCTCCTCGGAGAACTACGCTTCTGAAGGTTTTGAGGCTCCGCGCTTTTCCACCTTGGAATGACGAAACATATCTAGGCGCATATTCGTACTATGAATAAACACACAGATTACGATATAATGTAGAAGAGGAGCTATGCAAGACTTACCTGCCTTTACCCCAGCATTACTCCCCATATTTTATTTTCATGCTTTCGGGCGCATCTGGCAAATCCCACGACCCGATCTGCGTATGCACTTTCTGTCCGACATGCCCGACACCTCTGTGGAAGGTGCTGCAGATACGCAGACTGTGCGATGTGAAGAGCGTCGGGAGCATAGACATAGTGGCATCATTTCGTACTCTCAAACGCCTCGAGATATTCCAAGGTGGATCCTACACCATCCAACGTGGTCAAATGATCTCGTGGTTCGCGCAGACGCTGTGAGATTGTTACCATTTGAACGTTTTCGATGGGTGCTGGCCAATTGCTATGGCCCAGTGGGCCCTAGCCACTTCGCCACCTTCCCCGGGAGACCCCTGTGGCTCAACACTGAAACCTGCCGGAACTTCACGTGGGCCAATTTCCACATATTTTGACGAAGCGCCAAAAATGAAAAGGAAAAACAGGCTTTCCAAGTCCAATTTCGCGACAACGTGACTCTGCCAGAAGCCAAATGGAAGCCTCCATCAATTTATCTCCGGAGAGGAACGCCAGTGGTGCATTCTGGCCCAGTATGCATCAGTATAGAATTCTCCTTCGCATCTCCTGAAAGTCGGCTGCCTTTCTCCGCAAAGGCCAGGCGTGACAGCAGCGGTTGGGAAGATCGGCAGACCAATCATCTCCCTTCCTCTCCTCCCTCCGAAACCTTGTCCTGAGAGGCTGCTAGTGATCATTTCGTACAAGCGGCTGCAGCTATCCCCATTCAGGCTGTCCGCTATACGGGAAGAGGCTCAAGTGCGCTCTAGATCGACGATCGGAAAGTCCATCTCCATCATGTCCATACTCCAGCCACTTTCTTTTCATTGCTCCTATTGGTTAATATGGACGTACCTTAAGGTTACTGACGCAAGAAATGCTTTTCCGCCTTCAACTTCCCAGCCCCGCTGGTGCCGCCCTAAGGTACTTTATTTTCCTTTCCCTGCTTTTGAAGCCACAATTTGAGGCGCTCGGGTTCCAACTGCCCTGTAGAATGTCTGTTGCTGCTGGTAACATGACGTAGAAAACTAAGGCTCCTTCACACGCTTAGCGAGATAAAGCGTGTTTAAAGTCCCCCCAGCCTCCTTTTCGTCACGTAAATAATCTATACCCAAAAAATAATTCATTCTCACCCCCCCCAACCTTCATATCCCTCTTGCTTGATCATACCTTACCGTTTATGACAAGCGAGCGTTCCAAGTCTTCTGCTTCTTACGCATACTACTCCTTTCCTCCAACTCCTGATCGTAACTCTCCATCAGAGAGCTCGAAATCCACCTCAAAAACTCCCTCTCCTCAAACCGCGCGAACGTCCAAGAGTATGGCTCCCTCACCAGCGGCCGGCAAGACACCTCCTGGCCAAACACCATCAACGCCAACAAAATCAAGGAACAATCCGGCATCGTCCAAGCTCGGTCAGTCACAAAGCGCCACCGACTCACCTCAAGGTGCCGCAAAACAGGCGAACAACACTCCTAAGAGCGCTGTCAAGAAAGCTCAAGGCGCCAACCCTTCCAAGCAGTCTCCCAAACTCCCACCGAGGACGAAGCCTGGCCAAGCTGGTCAGACGGCGAAGGGTGCCGCACCGCAGGCGCCGAAAGCTCCAGCTCAAGCTCAAGCTCAAAAACCTGTCGATGACACCAAAAAGGATGTCGAAGACACGACTGAAGACAAGGGCATCGACTTGAAGGACAACGACCCTGCCGATGAAGCCGACAACGAAGAGACCGATACTCCCATGGGCAAAGTCAGTCAAACCGGCAATGAAACCGGCGAGGAAGCGAGCTCGGCTGTCTCTACCGCTGATGATGATGCCGAGGACGCCGTTGGGGGTGCCAACGAAACTGCCGAAGACACAGCGGAAGACACAGACGTACCGGATACGGACCAAGCTGAAGATACGGCTGACGAGTCTGCAGAAGGTGTCACCGGCGCAGCTGGTGGACTTGCAGGCAAAGCTAAAGAAGGTGCGGACGGCGCTACTGAAAAGGCCCAAGACACAGCTGAAGACGTTGAAGAGAAGGCTGGCGAGACTGCTGATGGCGCTCAAGACAAAGTCGGTGAGACTGCTGAAGGTGCCGAGGAGACCGCCGGTGAGACTGCTGAAGGCGCCCAAGAGAAAGCTGGTGAGACAGCTGAAGGTGCCGAGGAGACCGCCGGTGAGACTGCTGAAGGCGCTCAAGAGAAAGCTGGTGAGACTGCTGAAGGTGCCGAGGAGACCGCTGGCGAAACTGCTGAAGGGGCCGAGGATGCAGTTGACGAAGCCGGTGAAGGTGTCGAGGCTCCAGAAGTTGACGGGGTCGAGGATGCTGCTGAAGGTGTCGCCGACGAACTTCCAGTGGATCTTTCGGTGCTCAAGGGTCTCGAAGTCGGCGAGGGTGGAGAAATCCTTGGTGCCGACGGCGAAGCAGTAGGGAAGATCGAAGAAGGAGACCCGGAGGACCTCGTTGGAAAGACTATTGCTGATGACGGAGAAATTCTCGACGAAGACGGAGATGTCATTGGCCGCGCCACTGTTCTCCCCGAAAAAGCACAAGAGCTGGCCGACAAAGCGAAGGGCGATCTTCCTGACGTCAATGTGCTCGATGGTCTTGAGGTTGGCGAAGGTGGAGAAATCTTGGGACCGGACGGAACACCACTGGGCAAAATCACCGAAGGTAATCCAGAGGATCTTGTCGGTATGACGCTGAACGAGAACGGAGAGATCGTCGACGAAGATGGAGATGTCATCGGCAGAGCTGAGGTCGTGCCAGGAGAGGCCGCCGACAAGTTGAACGAAGCTGGCGAGGAAGTTGGCGAGGAAGTTGGCGAGGAAGTTGGCGAGGAAGTTGGCGAAGAGGTCCCCGAGGTCCCCGAGGACGCCGCCGACTTTGACCATGCTGCCAACATCGCCGAGATCGCTTCGGGACTCACACCAGACCTCTCTATCCTACAAGGCAAGAAAGTCAACAAGAAGGGCAAGATTCTTGACGAAGAGGGAGAGGTCATTGGCCAACTTACCGAAGACTCTGATCCCAAGAAATGCGCAGGCAAGATTCCCAACGAGGAGGGCGAGATTCTCGATAAAGATGGTGAGGTTGTTGGTAAAGTCGAAGTTGTCCCTGGAGAAGCCGCCGACGCTGCCATGAAGGAACTCCACCCCGAATTGGTGGAAAAATTGGAGGCGGCTGAACAGGCTGCGGAAGAGGCTGAACAGGAAGCTGAGGTCCCACAATTGCCTGGACTCGACATTTTGGAAGGCTTGAAAGTCAACAAGAAGGGAGAAGTCCTGAATGAAGACGGAGAGCCCATTGCTCGTGTCTCTGAGGGCGAGATAACCGAGCTTGCCGGAAAGAAGATCAATGCTAACGGCGAAGTACTCGACAAAGAAGGCAATGTCATTGGTAAGGTGGAGCTCATCCCAGAGGCGTTCCCAGATGTTCCCGCAGAGGGCGAGGAAGAGGGCGCTGAAGAGGAGGGCGCTGGAGAGGAGGGCGCTGGAGAGGAGGGCGAGGAGGCTGCGGTAGAGGCTCCTCAGCTTCCAGGCATGGATATTCTGGAAGGACTCAAGGTCAACAAGAAGGGAGAGGTCGTCAACGAGGACGGCGACGCCATCGCCAAGCTGGTTGAAGGTGACCTTGAGGCTTGCAAGGGCAAGAAGATCAACGCCGGAGGTGAGGTCATTGATGCTGAGGGTAATGTTATCGGCAAGGTCGAATTGATCCCGGAAGCATTCCCCGACGCCGTGCAGCCCGAAGAGGCGGGACCAGACTTCTCAGTGCTAGAGGGGTACAAGGTCAACAAGAACGGAGACGTAATCAACGAAGACGGCGAGACACTTGCTAAGCTGGTTGAGGGCGACCTCGAGGCCTGCAAAGGCAAGAAGATCAACCCGCAGGGTGAGGTCCTTGATGCCGAAGGCAATGTCATCGGTAAAGTCGAATTGGCCGGTGCTCCTGCTGCAGAAGAGGAGGCGGAAGAGACTGGTCCAGAACTTCCTCCACTCTCTTCCATGGAGGGCATGAAATGTAACAAGGCTGGCAAGATTGTCAATGACGATGGCGACGTCGTCGGTGAACTTGTTGAAGGAGACGTTAAGAAGCTTAACAAGATGAAGGCCGAACTCGATGCTGAAGGTCAGTTCTGGGATGGCAAAGGAAAGGTCATTGGGAGAGCCGTCACACTTCCTATTGAGGAGCACGAAGAAGAATCGCCATTTGCAGGTCTTGAAGGTCTTGTCGTTGTTGCTGACGGATGGGTCGAGGACGAGAACCAAAACAAGGTGGGTATCCTAACTGAAGGCGATCCCAAGAAATTGGTTGGTAGGGCAGTGGACGAAGACGGAGACGTCATCGACAACCGTGGCAATGTTGTCGGTCACGCTGAACGCTACGAGGAGCCTGAAGAGGAGGAGGAGGTCAAAATGGATCTGTCAATTCTCAAGGGCCTTGCAGTTAACAAGCAAGGCAATGTCATCGGTCCTGAAGGCGTCCCAATCGCTCGTCTCGTGGAAGGCAACGCAAAGGAGCTTGCCGGCAAAAAATGCGACGAGGAGGGCCAGCTCTGGAACGATTCCGGCAAGGTCATTGGACGTTGCGAGCTTATCCCTGACAATGAGCGCGAGTCTAAACCTGAAGGTCCTTTCGCCGGTCTCGAAGGCTGTATTGTTGTCAAAGACGGCATGGTTGAAGATGAAGATGGAAACCGAGTGGGAGTTGTTGTCGAGGGCGATGCGAAGCGACTTATTGGCCGTGCTGTTGATGAAGATGGAGATATCATTGACAGATTTGGTAATGTCAAAGGTCACGCCGAGCCCTACGAGGAGCCTGAAGAAGAGGTTGTCGATCTGTCTTCCTTGGAAGGAAAGGTCGTCAACAAAGCTGGTAACGTCGTTGATGAGCATGGCACAATCTTTGGCCGTATTGCCGAGGGTGACCCGGAGGAACTGGCTGGAAAGAAGGTCGATGGTCAAGGTCAAATCTGGAACGACAACGGCAAAGTCATTGGCCAGGCAGAACTCCTTCCAGGAGGTCGAACGCAAGCACCGGAAGGTGCATTCGCTGGCTTCGAGAACCTCGTTGTGGCCGATGAAGGTATGGTGACAGATGGCGCAGGCCAGATTGTTGGCAAGCTTGATGAAGAATCCATGCCAAACGCTGAGAAGCTTAGAGGCCGCAAGGTTGACGAGGATGGAGAGATCCTTGACAAAGCCGGTAATAGCATTGGCAAGGCCATCCGATGGAAGCCCGAAGAGAAGGAGAGACGCGTCAATCCTATGTCGGGCCACGTGGTCAACAGCAAAGGCGAGGTTCGCGACGAGAACGGTGAATTGCTCGGAATGGTTACTGATGGCCACCTGCCTACCCTCGTTGGCTGCGAGGTCGATGACAACGGCTATGTCGTGGACAATGATGGCAACAAGATCGGCGAATGTACACTCATGGAAAACCTCCCAGAGGACGAGGACGTGGGCCCAACGGAAGAGGAGCTCCAGAAGGCAGAAGATGCGGAGATCGCGAAGAAGATGAACAACATTGTGCAACAGACCATTGAAAAGATGCAGCCAGTCTGCAAGAACATCACCGATGTAAGCTTCTCCGCGTCCTATCCCATTCTGACTGCCAGCTAACAAGCCCACAGCGCATGGACAAAGCAGACCGTACGCCAAAGGAGGAGCTTGACGAAGAAGAGCTCGTCAAAGACGTCAAGCCCATGATCGAGGAAGGCAACCGCATTCTGCAAGAATGCAACGGTGCCATCCGAGGACTCGACCCAGACGGACACATTGCTGCCACCGCAAAGGCGCGAGCTGCCGCCGGCGAAGCCACGCCTCAAGAGAATGCCCTCGCCAACTCGCTCAAGGAGCTCACATCCACCATCGTACAGACAATCGAGAACGCAAAGAAGAAGCTGAACGACATGCCCCACGCCAAGAAGGAGCTCAACCCTCTATGGGGCCTGCTCACAGAGCCTCTGTTCCAGATCATCGCCGCCGTCGGACTGCTGCTCACCGGCGTCCTCGGTCTGGTCGGCAAGCTGCTCAACGGTCTCGGTCTCGGTGGTATCGTCAACGGCCTGCTCGGCGGCTTGGGCATCGACAAGCTGCTCGGCGGACTGGGCCTCGGTAGCATAGGCAAGTCGCTGGGTCTCGGCGGCGGGAAGAAGAAGTAGTTGAAGAGCGGCTAGGTCTCGTGCATCTATCTGTTGGTCAAGACTGCTTGCTTGCTTGCTTGTACACAATCACGGCATGCCCCCCCTTGGCAGGGGGGGGGACAGGGGGTTCTCAAACAAAAAGGTCGTCCAGTTCTTTGAATTTTAGCATGTACCTGCTTAGTACCATACCTATGTAATACCAATCTCATCCTCGATTCCAGAACATGGCCCCGCCCTCAATGTGACCTCGGTTCGACGCGACTCATGTCGCGCCCACATCGGTTGCCAAACGCTCCGTAAAGTAGTGATCATTTACTGCAACTTGGGTTTGCGAAGAGGAGGCCACAGTGTCGAAACTCGAGGTTGCGGCAGTGGGGATGGCAACGGCTGGGATGTGGGAACATGTGATGGATGGATGGGCTTGGAAGGGATCGTTGGGAAAAAGGCGGAGGGAGGGAACGGTCACGGAAAGGAAAGCGCAAGTCGTCACGTCGACGTCAACGTTGAGTATTTCCTCTGATTATAATTCATCTTGTGCGGTTTGCTCTGTGAATAAGATGTTCTGCTAGTATGTTGCTTTCTTCTAAACTGACATATCACCATCCCTCATGATTCAATGCACGCTAACTTCGAAAACAACTCCTTGATGCCCTGAAGCGCAAGAGAAACTCTCTCGCATTACATTCAGACCCTGGTTTCTCTGACCATCACGGGAGCTCTTCCTAGCTCATTGGAGCATCATTCGGCGAGCTGCGTGTGCAGTCGAATGCATATACTGAGACCTGGTTCGATCTGCCTGCCGCCATACCGCCTTCTAGTCACCCTTTTGTACAGCTCTCCCATTTGGCACATGCTTCTCTGGTGCATAGCCATTGGACACACTCCTCTCACCCACCGTATCTTGACCCGGAGCAGGCTTTGGGGTGATTGTCAGACAGTTGATGCCTAAATAGGCACAGATGCTATTGATGACCAAGAGCGCCCAACGGAAGTAGACTACTGTAGCGAACACGAAATACGCTCGTAGATACCAGAGTTCTACTTCTGCAGTGACTGGCGATAGACCAACTCTTGGAAGGTTACCCAATATGGCGCCACCGATTAGAGGGATCAGCATCACGGTCCAGTAAGGAAACGGCTGCCGTGTTAGATGGGCTAGGATTATCTTTGTTGTCATGCGTCCGAAAACGAACGACATGGTCAAACAGAACAGTACCAGCCTGTTCTCACGCATCAAAGTTGAGTAGGGTGAGTAGAGCCAAGCGCAGATGGAAGCTGTGTAGACAGCGATTGGCGTCCACTCCAAGAATACAGGAGCGACAGGAAGACCCTGCTCACGACGAGCCTTGATGACATTGTAAACGCAAGCCGGCAGGTGGGCGACCAAGAAGGTGCCAAATATGATTGGGATCCAGAGATCGATGACAGAGTTGTGCCCAATAATCTCAGAGTGGCCCACTAGGTCTGAGATAGGGTGATGCCACATTTGGGGTCCGTAGTAGCCCGACAATATCATGAAAGTACAGGCGAGTATGAGTCCCTCTGGATCAAATTAGCAGAAAATTCGAAGGCGTGAACAAGCCGCCGTACCTGTAGGACCGTTGAAATACCCCAAGTACAACGTGTGAGTGTGGTATGTCTCCCATGTGGAGAAGAACATAGGCAAACATGGTATCAGAGCAGTGAAGACTCCCTTGGGAGTAGGTCCCAAAGCCAAAGCAGCTGTTTCGCACAAACTTGCCAGCGTACAGTTCAGAGAGTCGATGCCATGACTTGCCGATGGTTAGCATCACATCCATCGTATCTCAAAAGGTCCCAACGTACTCGAATAGCTCCCCTAATCCACTAGACTGTCCTGTACGCCGCGCTTGCTTTCCGTCGACATTGTCCATTGTTGAATACCTAGGACACAAGGACGTATCAGCACTCCCGCTCAAACGCTTTTTAACTATCGCTGCTCACATCCATAATCCAACGGCAAAGCTATAATACAGCCATGAAGGACCCTAGGGCTTGTTCAGCAACCCAAGTACACAGACCGCCAAGGAAGAGCTGATGCAGATATTGTTGCTCACCGGTCCTACTAGATCCGGCATCCAGATCTCTAAACATATGACATTGGTAAGAATGAAAAAGAATCCTAGGAGGGTGACCATGTTTGGGGCAAGCCATAACGGTAGTAATTCCACGAATGCGTTCCACTATCCACGACAGGTTGGCAAGCCGTCAGGCGTGCAGGGAGATGGGCTCCACATACATAGTGCCGTAGAATGTAGTGAGATATGAGGGATTTATCGACGCTCGAGTACTTGTAGGACTTGAGGTGGACGAGAGCCTCTTCCGATACACATTCTGCAGCAGCTGTACCTAGAAGCAATCACCTTGTCAGTGATATCCACGTCCATGCAGCTGACCACTGGGCTCTTCGATAGACTCGAGTGAGGGTTTGAGATGAGAGGAATGTGAGATTACTTTTCTTCATGCTCCCTGCTTCCACTGTAAATGCCTGGTCTTCGCGTTCTCGATACACGGGGAGAAGTGACATGGAAGGACAAGTGCAGCACCTTCTCACTGCATGTTCAAAAGGGTATGGGTATGGCCAAACTTCAGTCAAGGCATGTACGACCGTAAATATAGATAGTTTCAATGCTCACGTTTTGAAGCTTCCGAGAATACTGGGCCGACGTTTTGCCGACGCCTATGATCTCAGGGTCTCACTAGTGAGCTAGTGAAAAGCAAATACGACATCCCTCGTCTAAAGTAAGCATTCAAATTAAACATCGAGTATAACTTGTCTCTAGATTTTTCGAATATTTAGAGTATCAAAGTAACCTTTAGATCATATAAAACTTTTGTAATATACACATTTATATTCTCTGATTTTTGTATCTATGTGAAAACCCATTGAAGTCAATCCACGGGCTTCTTGACCTTCCCTTCCGCGTCCAGAACGCTATCAGCCAGCATTGCCCACTTGCTGCGGATCCCCTCATTGGAAAGCGCATCATCGTAAGTCCTTGGCCATCCGCTGAGGTTGTCGTCAGTCAAGCTCAAAGCCTTGGACGGAGGTGCCCTTCAGGATTGTCGCGCTCATGGGATTGAGTCTCTGGTTCCGGCCTAAGACTGTGCAATAATTGCCAGACCCTCCATCTCGAGAGTAGCTTTCGTTGCTGTGCGGCTCCATGGCAGCTGTGCACCTACCAAAGCGCACGCTATGCCATCGAGGATGAGATGCTTTGCATTTATTCTCTCCTGTCGCAAGTCGTCCAATTCAACGGAGGCCACAAAGTCGCAGCCTCTGCCGGTTGGTCCGCTTGCTGCGCTGGCTAGCGCTTGATAGCTGGTTTCAAGCATGGTGAAGAACTTTGGCAATGGGAGAAGGATTAGCGCTAGATAAGAGTACTTTGAAATACTTCACAATGTGCTCTGGAGCCTGGACACCCGCTTTGCTGTACGTGGATTACAGAGATGGAAAGATGGACCGACTGTATGTTGAGGGCACAGATGGGTGCTGTTGATGTGCGATAGGCATGTTCGCGCCTGGAGGAAGGGCAGCAGGGAAGGGGGATGGGATGAGAGAGATGAGATTCGTGGTCTGGCTGAAAAAGATGCAAAAGTATATGTGTGTGGAAGTTGGACGGTTGCAAAAGAGGCCAGGAAGAAGTGGCGAATGGAGTGGCAAGGCGGTTGCTGTGGAGTAGAGGAAGCAGAGAACTGGCTTGAGGAATCGAAGGGGCCAACTATATGGCAGACGTTTTCGTTTAGTGCAAGTATGTACGGTATTTGCTATCACAGACTGTCAATGTCGACGACCCGCTGCTCAAGTCATCGAAGCCGTCGTATCCCGTTATGAATGCAACCCTCGAGCCCTCTATCAATCATAAACATAATGTTCTTACATGGCCTCCCAACAAGTGAGAGAGATTCATCGAGAAATACCCGTAGAAGACGCAGCACTCTGCAAAGGACGAGCTGCAGAAGATGAAACAGATACTTGACCCTTTTTCGAGACAATGTTAATGGATTCAGAACATCCTTCTGGAAGTATCTATCTTCGTTGCTAGGGATATGGCTGTGATGCTATTTCCTATCTTAGCCTTGACAGTGTTGATGTCGACTTTGATGGCTTGAAAGTCAATGCCAGTCGCGTCCACCCTCTCCCTAAGACCATGGGTAGGAGCACCCAATGTCCAACCAATGCTGATATGAAAACTCGAGGACATATCGATATCAGTTGATGGTCCGGAACGAGTCATGGAAGACGAAGCGGCGGCTCCTGTGATCCCTTTTGAACGGCTTCCATTTCCCGCTTGCCGTTTCCGACTTCGGCCATCAGTGGAGGATTGCAGCGAGTCTGTATAGAGTGGCGGCTGTCCAAAATCTGTGACCGTCTGATTTGAGAGGTGAAGAAGCTTGTTGAGACCATTTTGAGGCGGTCTCTCCAGCTTGAGCACCAAGAACCAGCGTGTCTTCTCATAGTTGGCAACCCACTCCAAGCCTCCCACGGCTACCTCGAATCTGAGTTATTTGGTTAATAGACGGCTAGTCCTACCTTTGATGTAAACATACGGGCTTAAACCTGTCTTGTTGATGGCACGGGTCAATGAATCAATGAACGGCTGTCGTTGATGTGCGAGCAGTACAATGGGCCTAGAGAGACTGATATGGAGAGGCAGCTCTACTCCAAGCTCACTCTTCAGAAGACTGTGGACTTGGTGCTCTTGGAGACTTTGTGCATCGCTAAGAACGGTCAAGATATTGCTGAGACGGCTCGAATATTCTGTCGAAGGAAACCCTCCTCACCATGAGCCAGCGCTCCAAGCAAAGCCAAAGCCGTAGAGGCTGTTGGATGGACTCACACTCTACGTAGACATGAGTAGGCCAATTGCCCTGAACGTGAGGCGTCACCCTCTGACGTCCAGCGTGCAGGGAAGGGTCGTCTTGATTACTGACTCTGGCTGTGGAAGCATAAAGGTCATGGAAGCTGTCCGGCAGAGATGGAAGAACTGAATGTGAAGTTGGACTATGCTTTCTTTTGATTCCTTGGGAGGTTTGGCTTTTACTGTGGATCCGATCCGGCTGAGGACTATCCGAGCTTGAGCTTTCGCTATCGGAGTACTGGACAAGAGGCATGACTTCAAGAATTGATATTATTGCATGTCGTTGATGATGCAAAAGGTCAACCTGCCGTTCTTAGTGTTCTTTACTTTAGCGTCAAGCCAGTGACGTGGACTGCTTCCTAAGCCGATGCTCCGCGTGGCAGATGCGAGCATGCGTACCTACCTTACCTCACTCTATATCCTAGGAAACATCGGTCCGAGGAAAAGAAAGAGGAACGCTCGGCAGACCCCTGACCTTGTGAATAACTAGAAGTCATATATAAAACACTTGCCTCACAGCTTCCAACAAACCACCATTGCATCATTTATTAATACTATCATATAAACAGGTGACCTAAGGTAAATTAACATAGATTCTCTATCCTTCGCTAAACACCAACATGGAAAACTCAGAAGATAAGCACTGGGTATGCATTAGGCAACCTCAATTGGCCTTCTCCCAAACCACCCATGAACTGACAACCTCTCAGGCAAGCCGCTACCTTCTTGATCCCCTCAATGGTCCAGAGCCCAGCGCAGAAACGGGCCCAGGAACGCACTACAATTCCACATTCTCCCCGCAAACCCAGGACCGCTCGTCCAGTAGCTCTCATACCAAACCTCAGAAGACACCTTCATCCTCCGTCCGGTCAAGCGAACCGTCATCGTCTCAAAGACTTCAAAAGACGCCTCCGTCCGTCTCTGTCCGCTCAACCAACCCATCGTCCTCCCAGAAGCCCACCCCATCCGTCTCCAATCGCTCAAGCAACAATCCCTACCGCAACGCCACTTCAACCGGCTATCCATCGCCGCCGCAATCCGCTAGCCCACGGAAAGACCGCTTCTCCACTTCCACATACCGCCAGGAAGCTTTCCCTGATTTCGATGGATCTTACTCCCCCACGTCCAAACGTCAAAGCATAGACCAAGCCTCGACGCAAATCCCGACTTCGACAGGGGGCCAAAATTCAACGACCACCGATGGCCACCGCCGCCGCCGCGGCAGCTCCCTCAGTCAGCGCTTTCCCGGCGATCAAAGCCATCGCCCCCTCGACATGATCAAACAGGATGCTAAAATGGCAAACCGCCACCCGCATCTTCGGAAGAAGCACATAGTCGGGTCAGACACCATCGATCGTATGGATACTGTGGGCGGCTTTCACCACGACGGACCTTACGAAGCTACGCTACTGGCTCGAAACACTTCGTCCGTGAATAGCCCAGTCGAGGCCGTCAGCACAACGAACGAAGAAGCTTTAAGGGCAACTCCTCGGGAAATGATCAGAGACAGCGTTGAGAAGCATCGCCCGCTGGACGGTGTGGCGATGGTGCCTCCCGGGAAGGAAGACCGATACGGCAATGTATACAATTACGAAGAAGGCACAGACATGATGATCGAAAACTCTCCCGAAGGCGGAGCCTACAAGCGGTGGCCTGGCGTGGTGCGGCCCCCCTCCCCCATCAGCAACACATCTCCCATCCAATGCTAACACACTCACCAGCAATATCTTCCCGAAGACCTCAAAGGCAAAGGCGAGCCCTCCTACTCGCTCGAAAAAGCCCTCAAGCAACACAAACTCCACTCCCGACACGCGTCCGACGGCAACAACGCCATCGAAATGACCACGCCCGCCACCCAACGGCGACCGATGAGCGTCGAAGGCCAGTCGAGGCCCGTGAGTGATGGGCAGAAGTACGCGGATTGGGAGCAGGGTGTTCGTCGGAGCTCGAGCGGGGCCGGGAAATTGAGGAGGAGGTTCGGGAGCTTGAGGCTGAGGAAGGATGAAAATTGAATGGGTAGCACTATTCACTCGTGCGCTGTAGAGGGGCGGAAGCGGGAGAATAGTGTTTATAGATGGGTCCGGAGTTAGATAGGTGGCTGATTGCTTAGAAAGGCGACATCACTTCCCATTCAGAGTTAGGATTCAGTGGGATGGCTTCGCCCCAATGGAAACCTCTTTGCTCGTAGGCTTGAAACGCTTGTTGCTCCTACAAACGACAGGATCATGCCGGTATTGAAACATTATTTTCATGATGCGCTTCTATATTTGTACACATGCCCCTACCATGTTCAATTGAAACAAGAATAATTCGAAGCTTTTGCACAATATCCGCCTGCACGTGCTGCCTGAAGCTTATGCAATAACATTAATGCAATGAGACTGTGCATCCAGGCTATGCAAACCCAAAACCTCACCCACCCAAAACTCATTGATGACCACCCTGCCCATTACCAAAGTACGGGCCATATTGCTGCTGCTGCTGAGCCTGACCATATTGACCTTGTTGCTGAAAACTAGGTTGCACGGGGAACGGCCCATGCTGCTGTTGGAACGGCGAAGGCGGCTGCTGCTGCTGCTGATACGGTGAACTTTGCTGCTGTCCCCAGTACTGCTGAATTGCCGGTGGTGTCCATTGTTGAGACTGCATCTGCGGGTATTGTTGGTACGAAGCGTACTGCTGCTGTTGTTGCGGTGTGCCCCAGCCATACTGCTGCTGCGCCACCCCAGGGGTAGGAGGTTGACCAGGAGAAGAAGGAAATTGCCCAGGCATAGAAAATTGAGGGGTGGGCGTAGAGAAGGATTGTTGCGATGGTTGCCTCTGCTGCTGACCTTGGCTATGTTGTTGGCGCTGGTGAATGGCTTGTTGGACCATTTGGCCGCTCAGACCTTGCTTGATCTCCCTTTTTTCCTTTTCACGCGCCTCGATTGCCCCTACTAACCCACCACCTTGAGGTAGGTTCTTGTTGGTGTTGCCAGCCATGTTGATAAGAGGGGAATTCGTGACCCGGGCGACATGTTCCTGCTCCCTCGCTGAGAGGTGTGCTGTATAATCGCTAGAATTGTTCATCACCGCAGTTGCGGCACGAGAACTAGGTCGGGCAGGTAAATCATTGCCATACGAAGACTGCCTTTTCTGTTGTTGAATTGGCCACTCTCCCGACGTGTTCCTCGGCACCGCTGGCGGAGTAGAAGGGCCTGAATGTTTGCGAGCATGTGCATAGACAGGTGTCATTACACGATTCGCAGTTGCTCGCTGTTGTACGAATTGTTCTGGCGTGATAGACTGTCTGGCACCTGGACTTCCACCAATCTGAGCTCCCGGCTGCCACGCGACGCTTCTACGATTGTCAATGCCATCGGCTGCCGAAGGAGATCGTATTTGAGGCTCAGGAGTGATGATGTTTCGACTGGGCGCTCGCTCGTAGGACTCGTTTTGCTGTCCAGCTGGGTAGACCACTGACGAGGGCTGTGCTTCTGCTGGCTCTTCGTTCCGAGGGCTGGGTGTGAACCTACCTCTGGAATCTGAACTATCATTTAATTGCTGGGTCAGTGATCCACTAGTATTGGGTCTGCTGCTGGTCCTCGGATTGTACGCTTGCGTGGGTCCAAAATCGACCGTTGGAATCTCAGGATTCAGCGGCTCAGGAGTCGCGCCAGGTCTGTAGTGAATATCTCCGACTTGAACCTCTTGCTGTACAGGCTCGACAGTGCCTACAGTTTTCAGCACACCTCTTCGAGGCTTTTCGACCGATGGCCGTGATCTCTTCGTCTCTGTAGATTTGCGAGTACTGGCGTAGTCTGGCGACACTGTTGATTCGTTGTCGTAAACGCTGGCATCGTCTACGAAACCAGCATTATTCTCACTGGTGAGAGACTGCAGACGCTGTCGCTCAAGTACTTGAGCAAGCGCTTCTTCATCGATGTAGCGGCTGTGCAAACTGTCGAGGCTTGACTTTGCGGTGGGTGGGACGGAATCGACTCGCGCAGGCGGTTCTTTGGTCGGAGACGGTGATTTATCTGGAACAGGTTTCCTAGAAATACTGGATTTTGATCGTTGGGCCTCGGGGCGTTGTTGAGGGGTCATTGGGAAGGGAGGCGGTTTCTGGATGCCGAAGACGGGATTCGAGGATGAAGCTGCCGGTGATTGGTTGCTGAGAGAGGACTTCCGAGCAGTCCTAACGCCATTTGCTGGCTGAAAGAGTGGTGAAGAAGACATAGAAGGCTGTGATAAAGGTGAAGTAGCGCGCGAAGAAGGATTTGGTGGTGATAAAAGGTCATATGAAGACATTAAAGGTTTGTCCTTGTAGTATGGAGCGTTTTGATTATCCGACTGAGACGAGGCGAATGAAGTGTCTGGGGAACCTTCACGGTTCGGGGGAGGATATCGGGTTTTCGCTGTTACCATGCCTTCAGCAGGAGAGGAACGGTCAGCAGTGCTCCGATTGTTGCTTGCGTTAAGGTTTACCCCACGTTGTCCCTGGTCCTCCAAAGACGTCCCACTCATACTCCTCTGCGAGTTGCTTTTCCACGCAGCTGCCGCGCCTGCTGCAGCGGTTCCAGTAGTACCGGCGCTCCCTGCGTCAGCCAATTGAGATAGTGTCGTGACGGACAGCCGGCTGTTGGCACGCCGTAGCTCTGCATTCAAGCCAGGCCTCTTTTGAGGCTTAGCGCCAGGTTCATGAGAGAAAGCTGGGGGAGCTGCAACCAGGGAGGGTGGTGGAGCAGGACGCATCTCTTGGCGTATTTCCTGCGGATCTGTTTCCCTACGGCTACCATTGACGCCAGCAAACCGCCGTTCACTCTCTGAGCTGCTTCGTCCGGATTCGTTGGCATATCTTTGCATTTGAGGGTTGCGGGCTGCCATGCCAATGGGAACGCCATGAGAAGGAGGCGGTGGAGCCATTTGTTCATACGAGTTTGCACGAGGAGGAGTAGCTTCAAAAGAGGGCCTAGATTGCTCGTGTGACAAGCGAGAAGGTGTATAATTTTGTTCCTGAACATACTTTTGGGATCTTTGGCGAGGAGGCGTAGACTGAGGGCTGGCTTCGGAGAAAGACCGCTGGTGTTGTGCCCTAGGCCGAGGAGGAGTGAATGGCTGATCCGCTGGCGGTTCTGAGTTGGCTCGATCAAGATGCTGTGGAGGCGCGGGAGCAGACTCGTTGCGTAAAGAAGGCGTTGACTTGATCGACGCGCCGTCTTCGTAGCGAAGAGTACCAGCACGCGAAGCGACGCTGTTTCTGTAGCCTCGGTAGCTGCTTGCCCTGCTCCTGGGCCGGCCGTTCGACGCCATTCTTGTCATACGCTGCGAGGTAAGATCTTTCATCTTCTGTCTCCAGTCTCGTTCTGTCCAAGATTGACTGCCAGTCTCATGAATCAAACCGGCCACGTCTAAGATCTCCAAGTATCCATATCGCCTCTCCTGTGGCAAAGCGAACATCAAACTGCGTGTGTCAAGGGTGTCTGCAGTCAATCTATTCGGACGTCCGTATAACGCAAAGACATCGTAGACAGGGAAAAGGTATCTTAGCATCATTTCAAACCCGGAAACGGCAGGATGAGTTTCTGGCATGACGAACACGAATCCATCAGTCGTTGTTTCCGGTGTAGAATGGATGGTAATCGAGCCCTCTATTTTGACCAGGGTTGACTGATCGATGAGGGGTTTGGACTGCGGATAAATGGCGTATGCTGAGTACGCGTCACTGATAGTTGCAATGGGCTGCGCTTTCTTGGTCTTTCTAGTATCGTAGAATTTGATATTGCCTTTGAGGACGGGGGCACGCTCGTATGCGGACTTCTTCTTCAGTTGCTTCTGTTGCTTTTGCACGTCTTTCTCACTAGGAGGTGAGATCACGCACCAGCAGCGTCTCCAGGGTGTGCCGGCTCCGAATCTCACTCTTGTCCAATCTTCGTTTTGGATCCTCATCCTATCCATGATGACCTTGATGTTGTTGAGGAGCTTCCCCTTGCCAGCGATCAAAGAGCCCGTGTAAGCTTCCTGGAGTGTAGAGTTTTCGTACATGGCTAGCCTGATAGCAGCAGTCCACTGCGTAAGAGAGTGTAGAGAATTGAAATGGAACAGGTACCGATTTTTTCCTGCGGTCGAAAGGCTGAGGACATTTTGTAGAGGCTGGACCTCTTGAGATCGAGTAGGAAGGGTTTCAATCTATGGATAGAGGATTAGCCAAACGCAAGAGATGCCAAGCTGAGCAAAGGACGAACCATCTTGATTGAGGCGTCCGCGAGGTTGATGAAAGTAGGTGCAACTTCTCCGTCTTGGCCGGCGGCGTCCAGTGCGGAGGCATCCCACAAAGACAAAATGGTGCCAACGAGTTGAGCGAAGCACTCCGTCCATGATCTGTCATGATTTGGTCGTCCGTCTGCGAGTTGCGTTAGCGAAACAATGTAAGAAGGATGAAAAGATCGACGCACTTGAATCCAGGTCATTGAGCTTTAGGAAGTATCCTTCTTGGTATAATTTATTGGAGTGGCTGTTGAGAAAGCTGAAGATGGGTTGAAGCTCCGGTATCGTATCCTGAGCAATCTCCATGACGGGGGGTTGATATGTTTGCACCATCGACATGGGTCTGATGGACGATGACCGCTCGCGTGTCCTGGGAGGCGGTGAATCTCTCGCCGGTGCCGCTACATGCTGAGGAGATGCGGAATTGGTGATCTTCTCTTTGATATCATGCTGTTGAGGGGAGTTCTGTGGGCCAGAAAACGAGGTCGACGTTGGTGATTTCGGTGCGCCAAAAGCTGACATGAAGGATAAAACTATGCAAGGGGTTTTAGCACACAAAAAAGGCAGCTCACGTGGCACCCGCTTCGTCGGGTAATTGTCTTACCTCTTGAACGACCCATGGTGTTGCTTCACAGAGCTGTAGAGCTCCCGAATACTTTTGAATTCCAAACTTTTGGTGTTGAGGAGGGAGCTCCAGCGGAAGGGTTGGGGGGCGGAATAAGTCGGATGCTTGAATTGTCGAGGCTGAAGGCCAATATGCAATCAGCTTACACCTCCAAGAGGCCAAAGGACGGACCAATTGAACGAGTGAAGACAAAGAATGAACAAGTAAACGACAGTGAGTGAGTGTAGGTTTAGGGTTTGGTTGTCGATGTGGTGAGTGGAGAGTTCAAATCTGCATCTTGTCAGAGCAGGGAATTCAATCTGGTGCTAGACTCAAATTGGCAAAGGAGTAAGTCGTCATCCAGCAAGTCAGAAGTGCAGCAGATGCTTAGCTTTTCTTCTATCGTCCACGCCTCGAACGTCGATCCTTTTCAACTGTTCACTACCACAACCACACTGACCTTTCTCCGGGAGCCACTTGTCATTATTTATTGGCCTTTGCGATTTTGCGACACTCCAAAGGGATGCTATCCATAAATGCTAGTCCCGCTCACTCAAGTAAGCTACCCCTAATTACCCAGTATTTTCACGTATTCGTACCCATCGAGCGGAGTTTTCTATCCGGATCCGAAGTCCACCTAAGGTAGAGTCTAGAGACCGAAGACCGAAGCTGACGACGACAGAGACTAGTCGAGCTCTGACAAGGATTCCTTACTCAGTGGGAACCGTGATACCCGATTGATAGCATGGGAAAGCTTTGATAGATGATCTCGTAATAAGAAAAGAGGACGGCCTTTTAATCGAGTAGCTTGCAGCTTCGAGACAGATCCCATAGAAGCAATCTTTCCTTCCGAACATGCCCGACTATAAAGCGAAAGGAGAGCTCATGCGATCAACAGCCTACTCCTTCTGCAAAGCCTTCACAACCGGCTCTCCTCCATCCGAAACACTTGACAAATACTTCACATCCAACCCTAAGATTCTCGAGCATGGCCCGAAGTGGGCAAACCTACGTCTCCCATTCCTGGGCATCAAATTCCACGGACGTCGCTCTCAAGGCTCCTCAACTGCCACATCCCGCAGAACCTGCGATGACTACTACGACCGTCTGACCTCTACATTGTCCTTCCATCCATATGAGAATACCGTACCGCCAAAGGAAGAATTCATGGTGGATGCTGAGGGAGGGACCGTGACGATAAAGTTACGTGCGAAATTTGCAAGTGTCAAGACGGGGAAGGACTGGGAAGAAGACTTTGTCTATGTGCTGAGTGAATTTGATGAGGAGGGGAAGATTGGAAGTCAAGAACTTTGGGCGGATCCCTTATCAGCTTGGGTGGCTGTTGGGGATGATTGAACCGGGTGAACCTCCACAATAGCATCAAGATAGATGATTCGGGGCGTACAAAATTTTTTAAGGGCTCACAGCTGACCCATAGACAGCAAGAGCAGCAAGGTCGGAGTACTTACACCCCTGCAGAACGCTGAAGAACTGCCGCCGGTGAGAATTGAAGATGGTTATCCTGCGCCACAGATTCAAAAAGAGTGATTCAGGGCTTTGGACAACTTCTGGGCACACGTACCCGACAGAATGCTGAGGAGACGGGACGTTTGCCACCCCGCCTGTAGGGGGACTGCAGGGTCACGGTCCAGCAGAGCTCTAAACAGACGTACCCATAGCTACCAAGTCTTAGGGAGAGGCCCTTCGAAAAGTTACGGAATCGATGGCTACAAGCCCCAACAAGACAGTATAATCGTAGCCGTTCCATACACATACAATAGAAACAAGGTACCTTGATTGCACTAACGCATCTTGCCCATCCTCATCCACAAACCCAAGCTCCAAGTACATATACACTCTCTCGAGCTCCAGCTTGTCCGAAACTTTTTGATGGCCATAAGCACGCGTCTGGGCACCCATTCCTCGACGGCCGTCTGATCATCGCTGCTCCAGGCGGGACACTCGAAGATTCAGAACCGGCGCAGAACAGTCTCGTGTCCGTACAAGGATTCCAGTGGCTCAAAATCTCCTCCATCCATCTATCTTCTTCGCCTACGTCTCTGTCTTCATCTTCACCTCTCCACTTAACCATGCACTCCAGCCTCCCCGTCAAAGCCGCTGCCTCCGTTGCTCCTTGCACCATCTCCACCTCATCTATCCAGCTTCGAGTCCCTCGATGGTAAGGATTTCCCCAACGAGCCATCATCCCAGCCCGCGAGCACGCGCTCCAGGCGGTCCCTCTAAAAATAATGTCTAGCAGATGGAGCAGAGCCGAAGTCAAAGCCGCTCCTGCTTCCAGCGAGCTAGAATCCCAAGGAAAGTGGGCCTCCGCTGCTCTTGTAGCGGTCTGGCAATACCGACAGGACTCCTCGCGAACAGGATCCGAATGGGGAAGAGATGCTGCAGGATTGGTCGTGGATGTATTTGTAGGCTCCGCGCTCTGAAATCCGTAGGGAGGCTTTCACGGAACGCAGTGCTCAGTCACACCTGTCAGCGATTACGCCGGGGAGTTGCCCGACACACCCAGCGGTATGAGAGGTAGTAGCGTAGAAAAATGTGGAGGGAGTCACGGGGTGAGGACTGGAGGTAGCGCCCAGACGGATTGGATAGGGGCTCGCTGGGCTTGCGGTCGCAGCTATCTCGGAAAAGAGAAAGAGAAGAAGAGAGAAAGACGGGATTTGAGACCAAAGGAGAGTATAAAGCACATGAAAAGAAGGAAAGTAGAAGCTCAAGTCTACCAAGTAGGCCTTCATTCTGAAAGATCCAAATTTCAATTTCACCCCTTCTCACCTGGAATGGTGTTTGGGGCTGGGTGAGACTCGTTATGCTCTTTGAAAATCCTGGAGATGGCATGTGCAACCAATGGCCAATAAACAGTTCGAATCTGATTTCAAGCCCCTTTTTGGATTTTGGGGAAACGGCGCCCCAGCTTGGAGGGTGAGATCCGTAGGTTTTGATAGCAGTAACATGGCCCAGAAGAGGTCATTTTGTACTGCGTGTATGGATATTGGGGGAGAAGAGCCTGCGAAGTATGCCATTTGGAAGATTTGGGGACGACGCAGCCCAAACAAAAATCCCCCGAACACCTAAGAAAGTCTCAAGTAGAGCGTAGAACAGTACGACCTCAAGGCAAGCTTCTGACTTGGAAAGACAGAGCCTCTATTACAGTGTCTTCGGCTTTTTGATCTCGGGCGGAGAAAGGGGGGCTTGGCAGAACTTGGCGCCAGTGCAGGCAAAAAGGTCTTTTCCCCTTTCAAATCCATCTCTGCAGCCCCGTAAATTTGCAAAAATGGGGAGAAGACCGAGAGATGGCCAGGCTGACTTGCCGATAGCCAACCAGCTTTCTCTTGGTGGTGGGTGGTGTCCTCGAACTCTCTGAGCGGAGGGCTCGCTTAGGCAAGATTCGCAGCCAGCGCAGCAGAGAAGCTCCCATCCCCTTCAAGGTGTTCCCCAGAGCTCTGAAAAATTGGCAAAAATAACGTACAGATCTGTATGGCAAGCCGTCTTCGTCTGCGGCAGTCATCGCTCCTACATGGAGTGAGGGTAAAAGTGTTGGCTGGATGTCCTCGAACGGTGTGCCCGGAAAAGGGGTTAGCGTGGTACGGAAAAATACAGTACCTTCTTGTCCCTTCGCCTTTCCTCTCGTCCTGACACTGTAGTATGGATCCAAAAAAATCGCAAAAAAAAATGTAAGCTTGATTGAGGCTTTGTATGTATTCAGGCCGAAGCCGGGTCGCCTTCCAAATCCACCGTACTCAAGGGAATGCAAAGCTACTTTCTCCTAAGATCAGTAACGATACACGCCAAGCCGTTAGGTTTCATGTACCACCGTTAACCCCAACCAATTTGTTCTGCTAATCATGCTTTTTAGAGATTCTCCCTATTATAATATATATTCCTAGAATAAATTAGCAAAATACTTGACACAGGATATGCCGACGCATTCGTACCTTCATCCGTGCATAGCGGCGCAGTCCGCAATCACAACACAATCGATCCTCAGGGCCACCAGAGCTTCCACAACTCGATCATGGTCCGAGGTCAGCGTCGATGATATCCATGACGACTGATTGGGTCGCACAAGCTGACTGTCCTCGCTGTTGCACGCTGCCTCTTGATGGCAAGACCGACGGAGGAAAACCACCTCACTCTGGCTCTTGACCCTTCCATTTCTCTTTCACGGCACTGACATCGAAGCCACAAGCTTCAGCTTTGCTGACAAGTCTTTTAGCTTTCCCAACGACGGGTGCATCGATCATCTTGCCATCCAGCGTCCACGCGCCTCTCCCCTGCTCATCAGCTTTCGCGTCCGCGATCACTACCCTCGCAGCCCATGCCACTTCGTCTTCACTCGGAGCAAAGGCCTTCTGCGCGATCGCGACCTGGTCGGGATGAATGCACTGTTTGCCATTGAAGCCCAGGCCCTTGCCTCCGAAGCACTCCTCTTCCATCACCCTGCTGCCTTCCTCGCCCTTGTAAGAGGTGCACACAAGATCGATGGTAGAGGGCAAATCATGCGCACGACAAGCAGTAGCGATAGCAGACCTCGCATACAGGAATTCAGTCAGGGAAGGCGTGCGAGTCAACGAAAGATCCAGGGCAAAGTCTTCAGCAGCGAAGATGAGACCATCAAGTTGAGCAGCCGTCTCGCAAATCTCACGTAAATTGGAAATCGCTTTGGCAGACTCGATAAGAGCAAGGATTTTGATCTGACGAGGTGCAGACTCCTCAGGACCAGTGAATGTTCGCTTGTGGTTGATGAAGTCAGCAGCCCATTTCAAATCGGAGCTGGAATTCACTTTCGGGATCACAAGGGTGTCAAGATATGGCGCATTACACTGAGGTCCGTCAATTGCTGAAGTGTTGATAGACTACTGAGCTGCCATACCACTGCTTCGATGTCATCGGCCTCGTGACCAGTCCCAACAGCATTGATTCGAACGGCGCACTCTTTGATACCATCTGCACGAGGCTGCTCAAGGAAGTTCCGGATGTTGGACCTCGCTTCGGCCTTCC